CTGATTTAATGTTTAGTTCTACCGATATAATCATCAGTTACCAAGTCATATATTGAGAATCTAGTATTCAGTGCAGCATCACAACCCAACCATAAAAATCTTAGCATTCTGTTTTTACACTTTACATAAACATAACAGGAAAATTTCAGAATTACTAAGGAGAGAATAACCTATTCCGTAAGTTTTAACTGCTTGATTTTTGTTACGCCCTATAGCCCATCAATAATCACGTAAAAAATCGCCAATCAGAAATTTGACTTGTATGATCTTGTCCCTATGCTAAGTCAGTAGTGCGTTAACTCTGAGTCCTTTTATTAGTTCTTCTTGCCTAACCCTGCCCATTGAGTCCAGAACATAATCTCAGCCTGTACTGTATGAATCATGCATTTCAGATATGCGTAGTTAATATACAGGCAAAGCACACCTCATCACGCCATAAAACGGAAATTAACAATTATACAAGATTAAGCCAAAAGTGGCTGTGAGTGTGGGATATTGTAACTAATACATCGGGAATAAGTTAAGCATGGTAAATTGGATCACAATAGCCAATAAGTCAAACGAAAGGAATATATACAGATACCCGATAAATACCTGTGGTTATCCTTATAGTAGGGTGCAGTTAACATTAACTTATTGTATCATAAATCTTAATTCAGTCATATATATTAATAATGACTGTTTCAAGTGATTCTGATTGATCTTTTTTTCTTAAATAGTAAGTACTTGGACAAAATTTAAACCTACAAACAAATCATTAATTACAGGTATTGTGTAATTTATCTAATGAACATTTCATGCTTATCACAATGACCATGAGAAATTATTATTTATCTATAAGTTTGGTGACAAGCTTTCGATTAATACAAGATACACTTGATTTTAATCTTTACCTCGGTTTCATTGTTGAATAATGTCTGACAAATCATGGATTATTAGTTCAATGTCGTTCAATTATGGTGAAGATAACCCGGAAAAATATTTTTGAAGATCGGATTCGTATTAATGCACGTGGTTTAATGTAAACTAGGAAATATTCTGTATGTATTAATAACTACGATATCACAATGTAGTGTGCATGCATGAGACTTGTACTTTCTTATAAGTTTTGGTTAAATGGATTATCAAAATATTCCGAGTCAGAACCCTGGAGACTTATTTATTTAAGTATATATGTATTCACAGTTACGAGACATTCGGTTTTATCCACTAATCAACATATACACGAAGTAGTTTTCAAAGTTTGTGCTATTCCATTTACTCGTCCATATCTAACAAAAACATAGAACATTTATTTCTGAAAATGTTTACTCGTTTTTTTTAGATTTGAAGTATCGTGGGTTTATTGACTTCGCAAACTTGTTTACAAGGTTTCAGTTTATTTGACAGTCAATATGGCCTGCAGTCATTCTAACACAAAATTTATGTACACCTCAAATATACACTCAGTTAGAAGTGGAATATACGAGGTAATAGTTTCAGAGGCCTGATTACTTTGTTTGAAACGTGCTTTCGATAGCAACAAAAGCCAACCAGCAATTCTACGCTAACTGGAAAGATGAATACTACTAAATTTCTGCACTATTCAATACTACAACTAAATTTCTCCCCACAGACCTCTTTATAAGCGTAGAATAATTGTCTTTTGGTTGGATTCAAGCTATAGTTAACCTTGAACTACAGTCAGTCTATGATGAATAGTATCACTTTTTGTAACAATCTACTATTCACTTATTACAAAGTAGAGACTATGTGAAGCTTTGATTGCAGGCAATATTCACGTTAAAAGATTGATGCATAATACCTAAAGAAAAGAGGATGCCTCTTGGTATATCTTCACTCAAGAGTTTTTAGTTACGAGGAATAATTGAAATTTTCTTAACCACCCGATATTTATTCTCTATGATCAGTCTATTCAATAGAAATATCACTTCACCATTCTTGTGAAGCTGTACTAGGTTTCACGGTCAAACGTATGTCATAGGTACTGGGAATTCGTCCTTGAAGAAAAATGAGACCGCCAGAAAATATAACCTAAGCGTCAGACTAATATTCATAGCAGTTTTCATATAGATTTGAGGAAACAAGAGACAATATAATTTCATTTCACGTTAGAGAACGGTTATATACATAGATCGATAAAATTCGGTAAAATTGGACTGTTTATAAAATCCAGACTAATACCTTATGAATTTCCAGACTGGTTTTCCTTCAACTGATGTACAGACCTGATTGACATAGAGACGTTAATGTGTTATCGAGTGAAACAAAACGTTTTCTCTCGCACCAGCGGTTAATAGTGCAGCCGATAAGTTGAAATTAAATTCACTCTCAGTTACTCCATGTAATATTATGTCTACAGAGTTCACTGTTGAGTAAAAGCACTGTAAAACACACTTGTCGTACAAGTGTTTAGCAATTCTACAATAAATAAATACTAATCGTTTTATGAGAAAGTGTTTACTCAAATAGCTAAGTTAGTGGATATTTGACGCAAGTAAACTATCTAGTAAACTGATGATGTCTTCTCAAATAAATCACTGAGTTTTAATACAAAACTGCGGAAGTCCATATGAGTAAAGAGAACAATGATGATGTCAATAAAAGATGTTATATATATAAAGCACAATATGAACACTGTACATATACACATAAGTAGAATAGATGTAAATTAACTAATGTTACGAATAATTATAATAAGAAGAGAGCAGAATAATTATATTTAGATCCTTTATATGATCCTTATTTTAAGAGAAAGACAGGAAATAAATCCCAATGACATAACCACACACACACACACATACAAAAAGGGAGATAGAGTTGCAAAAAGGTGAAGATGACATTGAAGCTGACATAGGAATGATGAACAATATACAATGACATCATTATACTGTAATTTAATTATTTTGTAGGTAAAGGAGATAGAAAAAAATTGCTGTCCTGAATAACTGTTGTTTTACAGGAGTGGCCTGATAGGTATAATGTTTATGATTTGAATGCCAACAGAATAGGTTGTGAAAAAATGAGGCATGATGATCGCATTTCCCGATGATGAACACAATGATACATGAATTCGGAGCAATGAAGAAAAAACAGGGATAAATAATCAGCCATCAGTCAACTTAAAAGAACTAAGATAAATGAAAAATTAATTATTTGGCTATTTATAAAATGAAATTCCTTGTAATGATGGAAATGAGGGAGTAGTAGTTTCATTGAGCCGTATAAAATCACTATCTAAATCAAAATACAAGGTACTTGTAAATTAAATATAAGATCTATTAATCAACAGGAGTTAGGAAATTACCATAATAGATGACTTTCTAGTTGCCAGGATGCTCATACCCAGTTTGATATTGGAAAACAAAGTAATCAAACAACTTACTTCAAGATTTCACTATTGCACATTGATGCTATTGATTGGGGAAAGATTTGGTAAAGATGAATGGTACACACTGTCCAACAATAAACGGTTTCCCTGTTCATTAAAAGAACATATAGGAGTATGGCACATAGCTGGTTTACTGCTGTCTAAAGGGTCATTAAGGCGATATTATGCAAGGAAGAAATGAACGATGTAGTGACTTAACTGAATTTTCCATGCATAGTACGCGTTTTTGCTTATTAGGTTATGGACCTGTAGTGATTTATATGGTTGATTCATATTACATATGTCTAAGTAGTGACTGGCATTAGGTCGATGAGATAGAAACGTTTAGGTCAGCGAATGAATTAATTTTATCCATACATCTTAGTAACATGAACAATGACCTAGAATGTTATTAGTAGCTGAAAATGCAACTTGAAACTGCTCTGTATAGTTTTATAACCACACTGTTTAGCTTATAGTCTTGCATAATTAACTACTTTTTACTTCATATCCTTTACTAATCCAATTGAAATTACATTTTTCTCGACTTTTCTCATCATGGTATGCTACGAAATTCTTGCAATATAAATCGACTTATTAATATATTTAAAGCTATCTCACTCCTGTGCTAAACAAACAACGAAATTGCATCACCAGTACTCTTCTATATGAGGTTTTAATTTAAAGTTTTATATTGGATATTGTGCATATCTGATAGTTGAATAAATGGACAAACGATTACAGTAAATATTATATTAATATAAACAATGGGAAAAAATATAAGGGTCAATTTTATGGAAATCGAAATGATTTAATAAAAAGACTGATCAGTTAGCCATAATGAACGTAGAGACTGGGACAAATTTGTGTTAGCACTAGTTTTCATAATGATATGAGTAAGGTTGTTGAACAAAACTGACTCCCCTCTTTAAGCTTATGAGGATATAGAATTACTGAAAAACTAATAACGATCAAGTAAATAAATGTTTGAAAGTTAAGATTATTTGTGTAAGATATCCAACTATAATATGAATGGGTTAATCTACAGAAATCTATGGATGATGGACATATGAAGATTATAGTTGATATTATATGAAACTGAACTTTTGATGTCAGTGGCTGCACAATACCAAAAGAACTATGAATTTCTCCAAATTAATACTTCGACAAATTGTTGGTGATTATGAAGTCTAACCTAAAAGATTTACAAAGTCAAGATTTACCAAAAATACAACTTGTTAACGGATCGTGAAGTCTATTACTATTCAAGTTTTTTTTTGGGGGGGTGAGGAATGGGTAGTAAACAATAAGTTTTTGATTGGTGCTTCCAAAGTGGAAAGTCGACTGCTTTTTCGATCATTTCATTGTGGACTATATTTATTTTTGTGTCCATAAACGCTTCAATACTAGTTTCTATGAGATTCTCATAGACCCATATCGATTACACCTAGATTGGAGCTTACAGATTTGTTTAGGATAAATTAATTTAAAAAAGATCGCTAACGAAGTAACTACTACGCAAAGTATAATGCATATATATATATATAAGCGACACGGAGCGTAGAGATTATATTAGGGATTGGCACTTCTCTCTGTACCGGACATCAATCGATCGTGCTGCTGTTGTCCATTATTGTTTTTTTCGTTTGTGGTTTACACGAGTTGAGTTGTCACTATCATTGTCTGCATTCCCGTTGTTAGGATGAGATCGTTTGCTATTGGATTGATTTTCGAGTTTGGAAGATGCTTCACTGTGGGAACTAAAATTATAATATACAAGGTATGAGACATTTTGAGTACAACACAATCAAGAATTTAACATTTTAATAATTACTTGAGAGATAACAGACTATAAATTACTGTTTAAATCTTAGGCACAGGGCACAAAATTACAAGACCACAAGGCAAAATTAAGCCGGACGATGATTATATGATGTGGTAGAATAGAACGTTGATATCATTATCAGGCTTGTGAATGACTTAATAAAAGTCGATCTGTTCAAAAAGTCAACAAACGCAGTATCAATTTAATGCTGAAAATAAACCAAATGTGAATCTTAATCAAACAAACTAACTTCAGTACCTTGACCTAACATGAAATTTAAAAAAGCCACTTGCTGATTATTCCACGAAAATAAAAATTTGTACGAATGCACCATTAGTAAACTATTACCATGAAATTATACACTACAATTACAGAACGCATCGTCTTTACATACAAGAAAATTTAAAAACACTAACAGAATATTGAATCATATCTTAATATCAAGAAAAAGATAACTCAAGCACTACATTATGTAAAATAAAAGGGTTCATAAAAAATCAGTACTATTTGCGCGAAAAATTCTAACAAATAAGAAAGATATCATAAAGAACTGAATAAATAAATAATATAATATACATAGTGATTAATAGCTACTTAATATATACCAATCGGCGTGGAAAGACATCAGTATGAATTTAACTCGAAATATATGTAAACCACAAACCGAAGAAACAATAAACAGACAAAACAATATGGAACGAATCTACCAAATTATGAAGGAAATGTAGACTAATAATGCTAAGCAAAACAGTCGCTAACAATGTAAGTGTACATAGCAATAAAAGTCATGGAAGACAAACTTAAAATTTACATTATTGAATTTGATATTGACGTCGTCCAGGGTAACTGTAGGCGTTTTACTCCAAATGTCCTGGTACGACCGGCGGTGGGGACAGTCACCTCACCCTCTCGAAATGCTTTCACACAGCCACTTCTGGGAAATTTCTACTCTGCATTCTCGTAGCGGGTGTGTTGTTTACGAAGTTGAGAGGACGAAAAGCGAATGTCCGGCGCTTTCACCGGGTTGGCGAATATGGGGGATCTACCTAGGGGAGTTGGAAAACTCTAATTCCAAAGCAATGTTGCACATGGGCTCCAGTATCCTGAAGGAACAAATGGCGTATGAACCAACCGTCGATCTCCGGCTACCATGGGACTGAATCTCATGACGTTGCCCCACTGCTTTGTGGATCAGACCTTTAGGTCGAAGACTCTGGGAGTGGTCACCAGCTTCAGTCTGGGCACCTAGGCAGTATCACAACGCACACACAAATCAATTGACTTGTTTGGCGCATATGTATTCGGTGCTCCTTTGTACCCATATTTATGTGTTCAAATAAGTAAATAAATAAATAATAAACGCTCAAACTATCTAGCTCAGAAAACCCAAATATTCACTTTGAATACATAAAGAATGGTTGGTATTAGCTGTACTAGTTCTCTAGCGTTATGCCAGTTGTATTAAGTCTAACCACTATAGACTAATGATTACTACGATTTGTTGAACTATTCTATCGAATTGTCTGTTGAAGAAGGGTGTACATAAAGTGTGTTAACATCTTGAGGGCTCTGTATACAAACACCTCTGGCAAAATGGTGGCATGCAACCACCTCACCACTGATCTACTCAAGCATTGGGGTTAGACAGGTTTCTCTAATCTTGCCATTCTTCTTTAACTTTGCCATCGGTGACGTTCTGGAAACATCTCTGATGGAAGTAGATAATGAGGGTGCGGACTCATTACCCAGAAAAAGACTTTTCGACCTTTGGCATGATGATGATATTGTCTTACTGTGCGATGATTCAAACCCTGCAAGTCGCTCTTAGTCAGTTGGTAACCAATGTCCATAGGTATGGCATGTGCTTTGCACTTTCCAAATGCAAAGAGTCTTTACAAAATTGACAGGAACTTGTGCATGAACTCAGTCCTGTTAGTGAACAATTAGTAGTCAAAACGTCCACATATCTGTAGTTGTGTAATTGCTGGAGGTGGCGTAACTGATGAGATTGGTTTAAATAAAGTGAAAGCTAGAGAAGCCTGTGTCAATCTGGGCTATCTTTGATGCTTTCGTGATGTTAATTTGGTTGTTAAAGGTTGAGTTGAAAACGTGTCGGTCAGAGCAATCTTGCTATATGCTTGTGAAACCTGACATCTCATCATTGGGGATGTTAGACAACTATGTGTTTGGTTAACGTTATCAAAGAAGGATTGGTGACGTTCAGTGGCAATAGCATATTAGTGATGCAGCGACTTGGGAACGTGTGTTTGGGCACAGTGACGATAATTCGGTTAATGTCACCAATTTTAAACATAGATTTTGGCGGCATGGACATAAGCTACGAATGTTGTCCCAGCGAATTCCACCTCGTATATTATTTGCCGACGCAGGGACTGGTTGGAAAAAGTGAAGATACTGTGATATGAACGCTGTACACGACTGGACTCTGTCAGCCCTCCATAGTTTCCTAGTCGGGCCTTACAGATATTGCAACACAGTAACTTGAGACATTATTAGGTATGACTTAGAAGCTAGCAGTGGCTTTGTTATAATCTTATTTTACTTTAATAAAAGTGAGAGAAGCTCCAGTAACAGACGATTTTTGCTGGTTGTATTTTTCTCGACAGAACTGCTTCCCTCATAATTTTTTTAAACTTTCATTTACGTTTATGCATCTGTTGATTTTGTTTTAGATTATGTTTATCTTCCTTCCTATATCGCTTCATAATCTCATTTCCTTATTGCGTGACACATAATTATCTTGGTGCCTCCTTGTACCAGTATTCATGTATCTCAGTCAGCCAGTCACAACGTAGGACCAGGCACATATATGCAACGGTCCAAGTTGCCACACCTCATTAACACAACAAGATCAACACCGAATTCATAGAAGTAGTTACCTCAACGATAGTAATATATAAAAGAAAGATTGTGTATAAGCATATAATACAGGAAGAAAGAATTAGCTCGTAGAAAGAAAGGCACACAGCAATTCTAATCATGGTTTAAGGGAAGACAAAGAGTCTGTACACCTACGCTATTGTGATCGATTCTGAGCCATATCACCCACAGTCTCCAACCATAGGTTACGATAGTCACGCGGACCCCAACCAAGTAGTCTGCATCTAACAACATGGCTCAGACTAGAAGTTAGTCACTTCAAGGACTGATACCACGTTTTGGTTTGGCCACCCTTAACTTTCTTCCAACCATTCCCAACACTAGACAGCATTGCACGTCGTGGTAATCGATGTTCAGGCATATGTAACACGTGGCCCAACCATCTCAGTCGATGAAGATTCGCAATCTCATCAACTGATTTACCATCATTCCCTAATACCCTGAGTTTCACCTTAGTACTACTTACCCGATGATCCCAACAGATGCGAGCAATATTTCTAGAACATCTGTGATCAAATACGATTATCTTCTACCCTTAATGGCCACATTCCGCAGACGTGAAGTAAAACAGAACGAACTGCTGCGCAGCCTTCGCCATAGGTGACATAAGTTGTCAAAAGCCAAACTAACTTTCTAAATCCGTGCAGAGATTTTGTCAGATACCAACCCATTAGGGCTGATCAGACTTCCAAGATAAGTGAAGTTGTCGACGCGTTCGACTATTTTACTCCCTATCTTTAGTTTAGGTGTTGACGCAGGCCAGTCCTGAAGCAACAACTTGCATTTAGAGGGGCGGGAAACGCATCTCAAACATCCTGGCATTGTTGCTCAGTGCTACCAAAAGACTGCATTTTATCAGCGCCTTCACCAAACAGGACTATATCATTTGAGTATTCCAAGTCGATAAGTGACCTCCTGGGAAGAGATCAATTCTTGAAAATTCAGACGACGAGAACCTTATTTCCAGCACTAGGTCTATGATGAAATTGAACAAAAATGGAGATAATGGACAGTGTTGTCGGACACCACCTGAGGTTACGAAATCAAATGACAGTTCGTCATAAGCTCTGACTCGCCTATTAGTGTTCGATTAATGAGCATTTACCATATAGGCTTTGACATTACAATCTGAATAGTATAGCTCAATCCTTTGACGCAACCACACAGGTTCCCAGCACCCTGGTGGACCAACTTATGTATATAAATAAAATAGTGTTCTTCATTTTTTATGATAGTTTAGTAGATTATTACTCTTGTAAGGACACTGAACACCTTGGGATCGCAAATATATTTTCAACCACACTGAATCCATTACTAACATCAGTCATAGCTACTGAGATGGCTCTGGTAACCTGCTTTCCGGTTGCTTACGTTAATACTCACATGAGTTGTTTAATAATTGTTAACTAGGTCACTAAAACTCTGTGGTTTTTTCTACTTGATTATTAACATCTAAAACTATCTTATGAAAACTATGTATATTATACGATATCAGTAAACAGCTTTTGAAAAATGTCCAAAGTTCTTCGATTCATACATAGTATAAATATCAATGAATAAAATGATAGAAAACTAATTGGCCAAAACATATTAACCTGAGTACATAAATTGACTTCCGTAAATACAAAATATTTAAAATTCAAAATACCTTGATGATGAGTCAGAGTGTGATGAATGTGAGGTCTGGCTAGAAGATGAGGAAGAATCCGAGTCTGAATCCGAAGAAGAAGAGTGGCTATGACTTCGTGACTTGTTTTTTGCAGCTTCTTGTGAAGATGCAGGTTTTCGTTGATTTGATAACTCATCATCCGAATCGTTGTTTCCTGCCCCCCAAATATCATACTTTGAGAGATCAGCATCATCACCAGAATCTTCATCTTCACTATCATCACCTTTATTATTGCCATTTTCGTCCTCATCATCTTTATCATGAACTCGTGTAACAGAATTGTTACCCAAATTGGACGAGTCATGGTTGCTAGATTGCTCACTCTGATTTTTTCGAAAGCTTTTCTTTTTACGACCGAATTCATCAAACTCATCATCTGAGTCTCTGCGTTCTCTGTACTCTACTACTTCATCACGCTCCATAAACCCTCCACCATAACCTGTTCTTTCGCCTTGTATGTCGACCTTCGATCCATTGCACACGTTGCAGGTACTTCGACGTGCCCAGTTGATATTTCCACATCTATATACAATGTTTAAGAAACAAACTGAGAATAAACAATGAAGATGTGAAATAAGTCATCATTTACCTACTGTTTAAAACACTGAATTAAAGATGATTTGTAAAATCGTACACTCCAAACTTCGGAGGAGTAAGAATTAGAACGCTGTCAAAACATTCAGAGAAAGGGGTTCGGAAAAGAAACTAGCCCGGTTGATTAAACTACTGATGCGCAAAATATATCAAAATAATTATATGAGTACTTAGAATGGGAAGCATATTTAAAGAGGAAAAGGATAGATGCTATAGAGCAAATTACGCTTTTTAGACCGATATGTACAAGTTATACGGCATATAAGTATAAGGTATTTCACATACTAAGTTTTTATTGCTTGAATGAGGTGAAGGCAGGACTGGGAACTAGTATTTAGAAAGAATCCAACGTTCGTTTGGTGGGGCCATAATTTGTGAACGACCTTTGAGGAACGATTAAGTGACCTCAAGGTAACTCATCTACTCACCAATGTCAAAAAAGTGTAGATTGATCAGGAATTATAATTTAAGGTTATGAATCAAAGTAAAGGTTTTCTTTACAAACATCAGCTATTATTTATTATTTTATTTGAACACATAAACATTGTTACAAGGAGACATCAAATAGATATGTACTACATAGATCATTCGATTCATGTGAGGGCCGGGATAATGCCTAGATGCCCAAACCGAAGCAGGTGGTTTTCTTAGGGGGCCAAACCCGAAACCATTGACCTATATGTCTAATCCTGAAAGCAGTGGATCAACGTCAGGAGATACAGTCCCATGGTAGCCGGAGACCGACGGTGGGTTTATACGCCATTTGTTCCTTCAGGATACTGGAGCCCATGTGCAACATTGCTTTGGAATTAGGGTTTTCCAACTCTCCTAGGTGAACTCTCTGTGTTCACCAGACATCAGCTATAATTCCAAAATGCTATTTAAATATGAGGATAAGTTAATTTTGCGCCAAAACTCAGGGCCTTTTTCCTTAATTTCATTGGGTTGTTCATAAATTATGGTCTCGCTGTTAATACTAAGCTTGACTGATGTCACATTAAAAGTTCGATATACATGCAAGATTAATTTACACGATGAACTTCAACCGAGATCCCATTTTGAGCAGCAGAATGTTAGCTTCACGCGTAAGAGGGTTAGCTATGGGGACGAACAAATCAGATTTTAGAAAGTACGTGTGGAATTCTTGCTCAAAATATAAATGGTTATAGTGTTATATTATGACTGGATTCAGTTCGTGTAAAAGTCATGATACTAATCCTGAATCATAACCTCAATTCCTGACTTCATCTTGAGTTTAATTTCTGTAAATTCACTCTTGGGATAACACAAGCTTGTTTTTATACTTTGGTACCACCCATAAAAAGCCAATAAAAATAAATAACTGAAATTCGTGTCCACAAGGAAGTGTAATAAGAGTTGAACCCATTGCAGAATAGAAGCGTACTATGGGATACCTTTAACAATCTTGCTGCGGAGAAGACATTAACTTATTTAAGGCAAAGTAACGTTTTATAGTGAGTAGCCACTAGGATGACACTGAACTATAGCACGTGGCTGCACTCGAAATCATTAAAGATTTTCATCGCGCACTTACGTCTTACAAATCCAATCATCTGGACTGAAAAGACCTTTGCTTTTTTCAGCTAGCTGTTTCCCGACCTCTAAACCAGCATTACCTGAAGCCACAAATTTCCTAGGCTTGTCACAACGGTTGCACTTGTCCCTTTTAGCAAAATTCACATTTTTACATCTGAAAGCTTATTTGTGAAGTTTGGCAATCTTACTTTGGATCACTACAAACCCAATCTTCTTTTGATGAGCGAGACATAGATGTGCAACGTTACAACTGTAATCCCGCGGATAATTATTCGTACACTTAAACACCATTAAGCGTAATAAACTGTATATTTTCATTATAAGTGAAACCCTACGTTTTCCGATTATTTTCTAAAATTAAGGCTACCACATCCTTGATTGGATACGAGAAATTTATAAGATTTTCAGAATAAACAGTAATTTCCATGTGTTTTTATTGAATTAAAAATTTCATCAAAACTGTCTGCCACGACGACTCAGTGGGAACATATTGCTCGAGAGGGTACTTTTTTACTATACTTTGGTCTCATTTGTTAAACGCGTAGTATGAGTCTTTGTCGTGTCCAGAAAAGTGTCTGGTTATCTAAAGTATGTTCTACGAATTCTTGATTACAGACAGTTTGAGCAACTACCGAGTCCTCATCAGCAGAAACTTACTTACCTGGCATTTTTCTCTGGAAGCTCTTACACGATGAGAAGGATGTGGTTGCCAGTAGTTGCAAGGGATAAGTAGCACGGCGTACCCACTGATGATCTGGTGCTGATGAGTGGATTGGCGCTTCAGTAAGGAGGTGTCTCTTAAAACTAATGAGATCGACGTCACTGTGGAAGACTTACAGAACCAGTTATTTTTGGGATTTATTTGCTGCTACAGCTCACTCCTTCTAGTGGGGTAGTGGTTACCTTAGGACGTGGTCAGACGGAGTTTTAAAACCAACGACCTTGCCGTTGGTCAACACTATTGCTTGCTATGTTCATCAGCATCTGGTAATCCTTCCCCAACAAAAAGGGCCATATGGTAAAATGTGACAGCAAAAAATGTACAGTGAAACTTTTAATTGATTGTATACCACGTCAGTTTTTCATAAATCCCATGAGTCCTGCAAAGTAAAAAACTAAAAGTATACGTGCATGTTGAGATACAATAGTATGTGCGCAATCATGCAGAACTTTCAATAAAGGAGTGCATCATAATTTTGAAGTTAACATGGCTTAACTGTATAGAAAGAAACTCAAGACTAATGTGCTTTTCTTCTAAATGGTCGGCTTTTAGAGAGTTATGTCTGACGTTATCGTTACAGTTTCATCGATGATAGAGTATTTAGGTGTACTATGAGGGACATGGAAGGATCCTTTATATGCGATCGTGATGAATCATGCCGCACTAAATCATGTACACTATGTCGTACGATAGGCTGAATGAAAATATCAGCTCACTGTGGTCGGGCGAAAAAGGGTTTCGCTAAACCCATAGCGTTTGTAAGCCTGCTCATGTAAGAGTTTAGATCCATATTCATTGAAGGACATTACATTACAGGTCCTAGTAGTCGGAGTAATCCCCGGTAAATGAGTTGTGCAGCAGTGTATCCAACGTCAGCTTTTACTGCACTGTGAATACCGAACAAAACGAGCGAAGGAGAGTCGGTCCACTGTGAAACGTTTGCAGCTGCGAGCAAAGCTCTCATCTATCAGTGAAATCGTTCTACCAACCTTTTAACCTATGGGTAATGTGTGGTATTTTGGAATCACGTGATTTCTGGTAGTGTACCAAGACAGCTGGAAAGTCCGGATTCGAACTAGCGTCTACGGTTTGTGATGATAGTTGAAGGGCCACTGGAGCTCGCTATCCATGATTTGACGACGGGGCAGGCTACTGTATGGGCAGTGATGTCCTCGATAAGCACTGCTTCTTGCCATCATGTGAAATGGTTCACACACGTTAAGAAGTAATAGCGTCCATTGGAATCTGGTAAGGGTCCTAACAAATCGATATGAACATAGTCGAAAGGGGTGTCGGGAGTTGTGAAAGAGCATAGAGAACGGGCCTTCACTCCGAGTTTATTGGATCGCGGTTAATGAACTTTCTTGCTGTGGCCCCAAAGATTATTAGTGCTGTGGAGAGCAAAATGATAAAACACATTAACACACAAATCGTAATTAAAGTTACAAAATGCCAAAATGAGGTCACATGGCATTCTACGACACAATAAGGTGGAAGGGTTTGGGTGTGCTAAGAGCTCATTGTGAGAATTTCTGGGAAGGCCTTTCACTAATTTTGCTTCTACATGCTGAATACGCTCACGCAAGTTGCTATCTTTAATAAGACATGATCCGGTTGCTTGATTGCTTTACTGTAGATGTGGTCTTACCTTGGTGGAACATAAATTTCGAAACATCTCGTTAAAAAATTTAAATGGGCGACGAATTAACTATTACACTCGGAAATTTTCGGTGGCTACTGCGTTGCAATGCGTAGTTGTTTTCAAATCTTGATGTAAAAATTGCCCCTAAGTCTCTGTGTCCCTGTACGTATGGAGGCTATGTACCGTTGATAGTTCACTGGCAACTATTACCTTGCCAAGCCCTAAACTTGGGATCACTTAACTAGTTCGTCTAGGTCAGCCTGGAAACAAAAATGATCAGCCTCACTTTTTATTATTTTCCAGATTTCGATGCCGATGAATTGAACAATAACAAAAATTCATTGACGTAGGGAAAGAAAAGTAGAGGACCTAAGATGGTACCTTGGGGTGGGAAAAAGACTTTTTGAGGTGAATCGTGGGTGGCTTTGAAGTGATATTGGCGAGGCATAAAGGCAATCGTGAATGTAACTTATCAAGACCCCGGCACCTTACTATATCTGAGGTTAGTGACCAACTGAAGAACAGCTTCCTTAGTCAAATGTGCAGGTCTTGAAGATAGTATCTGTGTTGTGGTTGTGACAAGTTTCGTTAACAATACGTGCAGAGTAGATTTCTTTGAGATAATTTGATAAAGGTTCGGCTTTTGCCAAACCTGATCCAGCTGGCATATCTGAATTTTCGTGCAACAAAAATGGAGGAGTAGCATCACTACGTTCTGTTCTTTGTTTAATGCTCAAAAACAAACATTTTGGACAGGTACGGCTAACATGTGCCAACTGTCGTAAGTAAATGTTAGGACATCTGGCTGTGGTCTTTTTACACATATTTCAGATTTTTCGGTACCCACACTTGAGTGATTAGTGTGTTATTGACAAGAATAATTCCAGAAATGTTTCCTACGCCTCAGCAGGCTTCGGGTATCTTTGTCGATTCATGGAATGCAACGTGGTAGCCCAAGTGTTGACCATGGGATGTACGGTAATGTTATGAACTCGAGTGGAACTTTAAACTCATTTCACTCGTTTCCAATAAATCCATGTGCATTGATCCATCAACACGTTCAGATAGCATAGCTTTCGTGCTTAAAGGTAACCTTCATTCTGTTGATAGAAGAGACCAGACTAGTAGCAAGTAGGTCTTTATTTAGATCGAGAGACAGTCCCAGCGGACAGGGGGATTACCTATTCAAATAAACAAAGCCTTTCGACATTCAATATAAGATAATAGGAAACATAATGCCTATACGAAATAAGGAAGTGAATGAGTACTTGAGCTATATTTTTTTGACACATAGTTGTTTGAGGTCAACTCTTAACTAATCAACCTAAGTTGTTACAGAGTCTCCGATTGCCTGAATGTTAGTTCATCAGATATTGGGAGGAGGTTGAGCATATAAATAATGTATATTGCGTGTCCGAAGCCTAAAGTGCAATAAAACGTAGCCACTAGTTACCAGTGGGAGAAGGTGCTAATTGTCGATGACATTGTTATAATGACGTGTAAAGACAAGATTCAGCAATGACGGTCCATGTTCAAACCAACACGTATCGGTTTTCTGATACATTTTACAAGCTCACATCAAATAATGATTGATATCAGGCTGTTATCGAAACATACATCTGAAGTTGTAAGCTCTATCAACTTGATATGCGGCGAACTGAAATCTCCATCGATGTGACAATGTTCGGCCTAACTCTAAGAACAAATATGACTTAAGATCAAGTCGTCAGTTAAACAGCGTGGGCTACAGAACATTCGTCCTAAAGTCACTAAACCGTGTCTAGATTTAGTTTTACAAGTAACCTCACATGTACCACTATAACGCTGCTCGGATGCCCTCGATTTTGCACAAAAGTGATCTCTAACATAAAGTATTGTAGTGGCATTGGACAATAGCCACACAATCCACAGAGCTGTGAACACGAGACTACTCAGAAAATAGATATTCAATATTTAACGCGGAGAAATACCTAACAATGGAGAAGGCGTGAACAAGGAATTGAATGGACTGGAGTTGATCGAGTGGCATGGCTTGGCCATGCAGGCGTGGTCTCTGCTGAATGTTACCTTATATCTTCTATTCATATTAAATATATTGTTCTTTCTCTAGCCTAACCTTGTTCTACATCATGTATTGGTAATCGATACGATACAGTGAGTTGGTGTAGTTGATGGTGTGACTTCCACGTAAGATCTTATAGATTAGGCAGTTATATCATGACAAATCTACAAATTTAGGATTAGGTCTATTATTAGAGCAGTACTAATATCATAGTACACCATAATTCTACAGTATTATGCCTCCTCCTTTGTGATTTTTAACTCTATCACTTGTAATACAGACGTAACTTGCAGTGATTAGAGCTACGTTTCTAATAAAACAGTTATCTTTGTACTTAATTCATCCATCCCACTTACCGAGTATTAATACGTCAGTGATATGGACTCCTGGACCTCTTCTGGTAGTGTATTTATGATGTTAGATTTAACCATATCCAAATTGTCTGCATGATTTTAACATAGTCATTTTCTTTCGACTCCTCCAGGTTCAAAATTATTAAATTAAGAACGGATTTGGCTGCTTTGAAAGTCGCAATCGTTGTTTTTGACAGTGTTGCTGTTTCGCGTATGTCAACTTACTTACTTACTTACTTACTTACGCCTGTTACTCCCAATCGAGCATAGGCCGCCGACCAGCATTCTCCAATCCACTCTATCCTGGGCCTTCTTTTCTAGTTCCATCTAATTCTTGTTCATTTTTCTCGTGTCTATCTCCATTTCCCGGAGTAATGTGTTCTTTGGTCTTCCTCTCCTCCTTCGGCCCTCAAGATTCCACGTGAGGGCTTGTCTTGTGGCGCAGTTGGGTGCT